GAAGGCGTGTCAGGGGAGGTGCCTTACCTGCGCTCAGTTCCACGTTAATTGTGATGTACAAAAGCAATGTGTGTGGATTCAGGCGTACACAAGGTTTGATACATCTGGATTTTTTTGTGCGTACACCGTTTTCTGGATTTGACCGTACGTCAGGTTTCAGTAAGAAATCCACRCAAGTCTTTGTACATGAGGCCCCAGGATATTTTTATTACTTTCTGAAGCATGCCAATACAACTGATTCTCAAAATTACAATATACCATATGGTAGGTGTCTACACAGGCGGAACATGTTTTTATGGYGTGGAGGTTTAGCATAATGCAGCAAAGCTAACTACAGCAGACGTACTAAATCATAAGTTCCAGCACTAACATTTCTTTACTGGAATAAAAGTGATGGCAGCAGATTCTTGACGTTGTCGTTGTCTGATCTTGCGGTTGATGTATCCAAGCCCGACTCGCCGACGTTCGGCCATCAACTCCTCCGTTTGAGCTCCTTCGTATTTCCTGAATTTTTGAGATGTTGTGAAAACTGCACTTTGCCGAACCATCGGAACTTTTGGAACATCCGTTCACACGATATGAAACTGCCAGCTTTGCAAAAAAAAATTTTTTTTGATTAAAAATAAGATAATTAAAAAAAATCTTCTTGATAATCTAACACACTCAGCCGTATGTAATGTGAGTTCTGCCTTCACACAGGGCAGTTTTGGCCAGAAATACCCGGAAATATTACGTCACAAGGGAACTATATATTCTGAGCTCTCAGAGATGCTGAGGTCGTCTGACTGAGTCAAAACCTACGTTTGGCTGTAGGTGGTGTCTGCCCTCTCCTGTCTGATGCTAGGAGCGTTGTTTATATAAAAAAAAAACAACATTTTGTAGATCATGTGCCATGTATAGAAAGTTAAACCATCTCCGGTCTGCAGGTTGTCATTAACCTCTGACATCAACAGAACGCTCTCCTCCACACAGCTGTTGCAAACTGGATTAGTTGGTTTTGGACCAGTCTTGGTTGTGCATGAAAATCCCAACAGATCAGCTGTTTCTGAAATACTCGGACCAACAATCATAAAACTTTCAAAGTCTTTGAAACCCTCTTTATTGATCGTTCTGCTGCTTATTTGAACCTCGGCGACTCGTCCTCACAGCATCTACAGCTCTGCAACGTGACTGGCTGGTTGTCCATTTGTGCTAACGAGCAGCTGAGCCTGTGGATGACTGAATATTTAACCTTTCATTATTCCTGTGATGTAACAAAGACTGTAACTGTTCAGTGATTGTGTTCCAGTTGTTTCACAGATGTTTACAACACACACACACACACACACACAAATCAACACAATCTACACACTGAATACCTTTGTGTTTTAGTCATTATGTAGTTTTATTCACTGTTTTCTCTTTGTGTGTGTGAAAACCAGCCTGTCAGTGTTCTGGTCCAGGCTGTCTGGACGGATCATGTGACCTGATAACTGGCAGTGGAATATGTCGAAGTGGTTTTCATGGTTACCAGTGTGATCAGTGTGCTCCTGGTTACTTCAACTACCCTCTGTGTCAGCGTGAGTCACCTTCTGTGTCTGTGTTTGTTAAGAGTTATCTAACACCACCTGTGGTCAAAACACTCGACACCCTCTTCAAAACCACCACACCACGTTACTGAACATCCTGCTCACTGGCTCCAAACCTTATATAGTTAAACAATTAATCTAATATGTTTTAGTATAACTCGTTTAATTTATTGTAGCTTGTTAAGATGAAAAACATCTTGAGGTTTAACTCAGCTGTCAGAGTAAATGTTTTACAGATGAATTACTATTTAAAGAGTAACTTACCCCAAAATTAACTTTTTTTAGCTGATAAACTGTCAAGAATGTGTCTAAAATGTTATATAGTACTGTTTCTGTGCTAATTTTGATGTTTTTGTGTGTATTTGTTCAAATCTGTAATATTTGGTCTGAAA